GCTAAGATCGTATGAATATAACTTCGACAGAGAATCTGACCTTGTTTCACTGTTTTGACTCATAAGTCATCGTTGTTACCGTCGATTTTTTACAAAATCATTGCAATCATACTTATCTTTGCTGTCACGTCACAAATCAAAACGTACCTGATTGGTGAATGAGTTGCTCATAACAAATGACGGGTGACCAGTCGCACAACCCAAATTGCACAAACGACCCTCAGCAAGCAATATTATATGACGACCATTCTTCAGCAAATATCTGTCAACCTTAAAGATTCGAATGAATTCGCTAAAACAATGAAACAGATTACGCTAAGCAAGCATTCAGAATAAAATGAGTTTAAAGTGCAAGTAAAAGCAAAGTAACCTGTGGTTTGACTTGCTCTTTCTTGGCATTGGCATTCAACCACGCCACATCGATCTCCACATCGAAATGACCAACGTTACAAACGATCGCATCATTCGGCAACGCCAACAAATGCTCACCGCGCACCACATCCTTACATCCAGTAGTTGTCACTACTATCTGTATCATAGGTGCCACCTCCTCGAAAGTCTTCACTTCATATCCTTCAAATAATGAACGCAATTATCACTACTTGAATATAATAAACAATTTTATATCACTACCTACAAATCCGAATCACGCCAACATCCGAAACAAAATAATAAACCAGATAAAATGATCAAGCACAGTATCGATAAAACTGTACTTTGACACAATGACGAATCAAAGCAAATCAGTATCAATTGTACTATTTGCTGTAATAGGCGTATCATAGATGGAAACCAAACGAAAAGAATAAATTCATAGCATGAATTGTAACTCATTATAGAAAGATCAATCTGCCTGATAAAAGATACTAAACAATTACCTTCCATCGCCGCTTGAAGTGCGTTGATGGGGTCGATTTCGGTGACGATGACGCGTGCACCGAAAGACTTCAACGAAGCAGCCGCACCCTTACCGACATCTCCGAAACCACACACCAAACAAACTTTACCAGCGATCATTATATCGGTGGCACGCTTAATACCATCGGGCAACGACTCTCTGATACCGTAAAGGTTATCGAATTTCGTCTTCGTTACACTGTCGTTCACGTTTATTGCCGGCACCTGAAATGCTGATTCGTATCACAACTGTCATCGCCATTCGTTGATACGGTTGACACGAACGGACACAATTCAATTACCTTCAGTGTACCCGCTTTCACCATCTTCGCCAGATTATGCACACCAGTAGTTGTCTCCTCACTCAATCCGTAAATACCTTCCAAATACTGCGGGTATTTCGTATGCACCAAATTCGTCAAGTCACCACCATCATCCAAAATCATATTCAATGGCTTTCCATCTTTGAATATTAATGTCTGCAATAAATATAATGTCTACTGATGTTTCCAAAAAAATTCTGTACAGCTGTCACCAGTTTAATAGAGAACAAGATATTTTTTGCAAAAATTTTGCT